TGTAATAATCTCCGGGACGAGATAGAGGGACTCATCCGTCGCGGATACTTGAGGAATTTTGTACAGTATGATAATAATAATAACAAAAGGCAGGTCGGCAAGGGGAACACAGAAAGGATGCCCCCGAATCTAGCAGCAGACCAGCCGAACCGTTGCAACGACAGCCTCCGGAAGAGAGGCCAGTCCGAGGAACCATCCATGTAATAGTGGGAGGTTCAGTGGTAGCAGGGTATACTTCGGCAGTGGCCCGGACGTCAGTTCGCGAAGTAGCCCAAGAGGAATAGAACCCCCCAAAGAGACCGAAGACTGAAGAGTCGATCTTCTTCACGAAAGACGATGCGCGAGGGGTCCACTACCCCCACGATGACGCGCTTGTCATAAAACTGAGGATCAGCGACTTCGAGGTTAGACGCGTACTCGTAGATTCGGGCAGCTCGGCGTACATCCTCTTCAAGTCAGCATTTGACCAGCTACAGTTGCAGAAGAGCGAGCTAAAGCCCGCGAACACTCCTCTGGTAGGCTTCAGCGGAGAGTCAGGCCCTTCAGAAAAATAACAGTACCTATGGAAGTCGGCACATGGCCTTGTGCGGTCAGACTCAACCATGATTTCCTGGTGGTCACGACCCCTTCCCCATACAATGCCATAATAGGACGACCAATTACGCATATCCTACGGGCAGTGGTCTCCACATACTATTTGGCAATGAAGTTTCCTACAGACTTCGGTGTGGGGTTAGCACGGGGCGACCAGCTTGAGTCCCGCAAGTGTTATGTTGCCGCCCTGAAGGGAAAAACCAAGGCGGCCGACGACCTTGAACTGGAGCGGCCCACGAAGCAAGGCGAGGAACAAGCTTCGCCCATAGAGGAAACGGTCGCAGTCTCGAGTTCGGCTACAGACCCAGCTCGCACACTACAGATCGGTGCTTCTGTCGAGGAACCACTACGAACCGAACTAGTAAGTTTTTTACTTCAAAATTTAGATATTTTTGCCTGGTCCGCGGCCGACATGCCCGTATTGACCCCAACTTTATAACTCACAAACTTAATATTGGCCCTGTAGTCAAACCCG